GGTTTATTCGTTATTCAATTTGTTTCTAATATAGATATAAGAAATATATAAATAAAATAAAAATCATTATATGAATGCTGTATAAAAAATATTTTTTCAAACTAAAAATAATTTTAAGGAAAACATAATTTTTTTGTTTTTGGATTTTTACAATTTTTGTATTTTATTTTAAAAAAATTTTATTCACATAAAACCTAATTAAAGAAATTATAATTTATAAATTTATAATTATATAATTAAAAATAAAATTCTATAATTGAGTCCGCAAAAAGGAACCATAATTGTTCTATTTGAATTTTTTGTCGACTAAAAAGAAATTCTCTGGGTTCATTTGTGAAATGTCGTATTTTATTACCCAGATTTTTTAAAAACATAAATGTTGAAGGCGAAAAATGCCCTTTAGTAGAAGTCACTACTGGAGTGAATATGAAGTTTTAAAAATTTTTGTATTTGTTTGTCTTTTTAATTTCTGCCTGTGTTATTAAATTGAAATATAAGTTTGAAGGGAATGATGAGACACACTTGTAGTCCCATATGAGTGATGGACCCAAGGTATGGTTGTCATATCATTAGGGTCTTAAACCATATACTTGAGATAAATTTGATGGTTCAAGATTGTTTGTAATTTGTGCAGCTGTTAGGCTTCTATTTATTATATGGTTTACAGCTGAGTGGCGTTGATGTCGCCCTTGACTAAAAATACAATTAAAGCCATGTCTACCCTTAGAATCAACGGGTTTGCATTTGCATGAGGCTGTACTATATCGCAACCTAGACGTAAACTTAAGATTACTCATTTGATAAGAGATTACCAAGGTTGCGACTAGGGAGTGATTCTAACCATTCATGACCATCAAGTCTGTCAGATAGTTGAAGGAGTTGAATGTAATCTAAAGGTGGATTGACTGATATATCTGTTTGGTATTTCGAGATTAAAGGTGTGAAAAAAATTTTATGTGTGATGATTGATGGTAATACGGCGTTAAGGGGTGTGTTTGTCTTCCATTTGTCAATAACGTCGTCTAAACGATCGGTAGGGCATATGAAGCCAGAAATCATAGAATTGTTAGATAATCTAAATACGAATGATGTGATAAGGATAAAAGATTGAGGGAAAAAAATCAAAACCGCCTAGTTTAGATGGTGACTATGCAAGTGACCAATTGAATGGGTTTAAATTTATGTTTAAAATTTTTTTTAGAAATATTTTAAATTTTTCCTAAATTTTTGATATAAATTCATTGTTTTTGAAAAAAGATGATGATCGGAAAATGTGCATAAATTTAGGTATGTACAGGCATTTACGTATTAAAAATAAAGATTGATGTGCTGGTAGGAGACTTAGATGGTGCTCCATACTGTAAAAGCTTTTTAAAATCTTATGGAGGAAATCTGACTTGGTCGCATTAGCTAATGGGGACCCAAGTAAGATTAAGCTGTCAGGAGCAATAATTTTGTAGCCTTCCAACTTTAGTGGCTTATTGTTTAAGAAACATAATTCTGTTTTATTTATGTTGATTACCAGGCCGATAGCTTGGGAATTGATTTCCAAGTGTTTTAAGGCGCTTAGTACATTAGCTGGCCACAGATTGTCCCATCGTCTAAATACCCATAGATTAAGATCTAGGTTGAAATTTTGTTTACTTTGGTAGATGAGATGATGGATTCCAAACAAAAAAGAAGAGGTCCTAATGGGTCCCCTTGTTGGATGCCCTCTTGGGATAAATCTGAAAAGTTTCATATGCCAAAGGCGTCTGAAAACCATATGAGGAGTTAATAAATTTAGAATAACAGGTAAAAGTTTCCTAGAAGAAATGAGGTATGTAGGCTACTGAAGGCATTTTTGAAATCTAGTTTCATATTAAAGAATCAGGAGGTGGGTTTTCTAAGTAAATTCTTAAGGTATGAGATGAGCCGCTGCTTCACAGCCACCCTTGATTACAAAACCTATTTGATAAGAGTTTAAAATGTTGACAACATCATGTTTGATGTGTTCGATTATGATTTTGGCTATTAATCTTCTGAAAAGGAGCCAACTGCAATGGGACGGGAAGTAAGTAGACGTGCACCAAAAGGGATTTGGTAAGTTTGTATTGGAATAGCATTATTTATTATGTTATTACAAAAAGTTGTTAAAATCTTGATGACAGAACTAAGGGAAGGATTTTTTGAATTAATTAAGTATTGGAAATAGGAGGGTCTGAAACCATCAAGATCACCTGCTGAGTTTTTATTGAAAGAATTGATAGCATTGACTATTTCATCGCTGGTAAAAATTACAGTCTGGTGGATTGGAGAGATGGGTAGATTATCTGTGGAAGCTTCAGGATGTAGTTGTTTCAATAATTGTTATTTTCTTCATTGATAAGAGAAAGATGGTTATCTGAGGATACAAGTTTAATTGCATCCCTATGTCACCTTGATCTATTTTATTTGATATTATTTTGCATTTGTGTGTAATATCATCTACTTGCTTTTTAACATTATGATTGTAGTTTATCATTTGAATAGTGTCAAAATTATTGTTTGATTTTATTTGTTCATGTAATGGGTCTCTTTGTTAGTTGGACGTATAAGACATTTGTGAGAGAAGATTAATAAGTCTTTCCATGATTTTAAACAATTTAAGTTATCATTAACTTTTGTGGTAAGTTTAGTAACAAAATTTGAAATTATGTTTCTAGATTTATTTGATAGATGTGTTAAAGTGGGTCCTTTTTTCCATTCAAAAAATCTTTCAAGATAATCTGTGTTAGAAGGAGGATGAGGCTCAAGGAACAATAGTTAAATTAAATATTTATTTGTATGTTCAATAAGAATTCCCTATGTTCATGTAATGTTGTTAAACGGCTTATTTTGAGCCTATTTTTAAAAACGGCTAACTCAATATTTCATCCAGAAAAAAAAACATGCAAGCCTGAAGATTTTACTCATAGAAGGAACAAATCTAGACATATATTAACGAAATCTCGAGGCTTATGCAATATTTTTCCGGCTAAAATAATGAGTTCTCAAAACGAGCAGTTTAACAACATTATTCAGGTGTTTTTAATTTAATTTTGTGATCTAAATTTTTTTAAAGCTACACATAAAAAAATAAAATTGAGAATGAAAAATAAAATGCCGATTTGATTATATGATTATTTCCACTTTTTAATTTTTAACATTTTAAATAAACAATATTTTTTAAAATTATGTTATTTCAAATGACTCTTCTACCTCAATTGTAACTAAAGACATGTAAAATTAAATGGAAGTGAATTTTTCCCAAAATTCCCCATTTTTTTACGACCCTTGGGCCTATAACTAGTGTTATTAAACGGCTCGTTTTGAGCCGATTTTTAAAAAATGACTAACTCAATATTCTATCCAGAAAAATATTCGCAAGCCTGAAGTTTTGCTCATAGAAGGAACAAAGATCTATACATATATTAACGAAATCTCGAGGCTTAGGCATAATTTTTCTGCCTAAAATTTTAGAAAAACCTGAGGAGGGGAATATAGGGTTGAAACTAGTGTTGATCTGTCATGGGATTTACTATATACAAGTCGAGATGCTACATATTTTTTTAAAAGAAAATCTGGATTAAATACGCATAAATTTTCTTGATTATCTCTATCATCATTCATCCAATTTAGATTCGTAGTGTAATTAGTGCTGTACTATTATTTAGTACGACTTTAGAACCTTTGAAGAGAGAGATTTCAGTAAAACAATAAAGAAGCATGGTTATTGATATTTCATATTTTTTCTCCATATTATATTTTAATTTCTAATAATAAGAATAAAGAAAATTAATTAGTAAATAATAATGATAAATTTTCCTAATATGTAAAATATGCAACCCGTTCATAAGAGTGAAATTTGAAAAAATCCCTAGGCTACATACAATGACATAATACCTAGACTGACGATGCATCCATAATAATGCATTTGAAAGCGTCGTTGAATGCAAATCAGCTGGACCCGTCATTTTGGTAACCTATATAGTAATTATTCTCATGTTAAAAAAAAAACTTCCTAATTTTACGATCCAGATTGATGTTATTTGAAAATACGTTATTTTAAAAAAGAATGGGTAACCAAAATGGCGACCCCAGCTGTTTTTCATTGATGTACACTTTTTAATGAATGCATCGTCAGTTTAGATATTATTTTATGTCATTGCCAACATAATAATTAAAAATAAACGTTCGGGGCATAAGACACAAAGAGGCCCTTAAAGAAAGTCCTATTTTGACGTCCCGGGTAGCTGTAACATCGCTTCCCCATTCGCGTAGGCCCGATTGGAACTAGGCAAAGAAAAAATGTAACACGTCTCTAAATTATAACATAATTATAATCTATATAAAGGAGGTGTTCCAAAAAAAAAAGTATTTTAATTTGTTCGGGTTATTGGGAGGAATTACGCCTAAAATGTTTACTAAAAAAGATCGGCCGATTTTTAAAAATGGCTAACCCATATTTTAGCCAAAACTATCACGGTGATTTTTCCTAAAGAAGGTAGAAAGGTTTGGAGATCTATTAACGAAATCTTGAGGATTTCATATTTCTTTTGCTAACCATTTTAAAAAATTGAACCGTTTAACAATACTAATAATATTAACCAACTTATGTGTAAACTATTCTTAGAGATTTTAAGATTTCTCTTTACCTTTTTCAAATCAAATCTAAAAAAAATATTGCTTTTAATTTTTAATCAATAAAATCCAGTTAAATGCAAATGTAAAGACGAATAGAATATATATATTAGAAGTAAATAATAGAATTAAGATTTAAATGTAACCTAATATATATGTAAGTTTGCCAAAAAAAAATTTCCCCCAACCTTATCAATTCTATATAAAATTATCAATAATATTTAATTTTATTTTTATACATTTTTAAGAAAAATAAATATTGGAATATATTTTGGAACAAAATATTGGCAAATCCATTAAAATCCTTTTTAAATATTTAAATAATAAAAATAATAATCAAAAACTTTAATTAACATTGCCAAATAAACCTTGATATAAAAAGGCTTACAATTTTTCGTTTTCAATTCACAAAAAAATTTATTTTAAAAATATTTTGAAAGACAAATCAAACAATATGCCCAACAAAAACGGTAAATATATATAATTATTTATAATAATATTAATATTTATAAATCAGCTGTTAAACGGCTGGTTTTGAGTCGATTTTTCAAAACGGCTAACTCAATATTCCATCCATAAAAATATTACGCAAGCCTGAAGATTTTATTCGTAGAAGGAACAGAGATCTAGACATAATATTATCAAAATCTAGAGGTTTAGGCAATATCCTTCTGGCTAAAATATTGAGTTAGCCGTTTTTAAAAAACGGCTCAAAGCCGTTTAACAACACTCTGTTAAAAACTAATAATTTGTTTGCAATTATATTATAGAATCAGGTGCAGCTGGTGGTTTGGGACAAGCCGGAAAAAGCGAAGCTAAAGTATATTAAAAAAAATTTTTTTAACGATATAACCAAGAATACCATTTTTTTTGATAGGCCGGATCAGCTGGCGCGGATGCGGGAGCCCATGCAGGAAAAAACCAAGCCCAAGCTGGGGCCGGAGCCGGAGCTGGAGCTGGAGCCGGATGCGGAAAACAATGTTCCAAAAACTAAATTAGCTAATAGTGCAGAGTTTCATCAACATTCTAGAAAGAAAATATACATCTTTGTTTTTATTTAAATTAATTGCAAAAATATGTATTGCAAAAATGTAAAAATGTAGTAAATAAAATATTTAATGCTTATATTTTTGTGTTTACATCGATTGTTTTTGATACTTGTGTTATTTAACAGCTCTATTTGAGTCTATTTTTTAAAAACGTCTTAACTAAATATATTATCCAGAGAGTATAACGCAAGCCTAGTTAGTTCGCTCATAGATGGCACAAAGAGGTTTGAACATTCTATTAGCGAAATATCGGGGTTTAGGGTTAAGGGCCATATTTAATTCTGGTGAAAATAGTGATTTAGCAAACTTTTTAAAAATAGGCTTAAATCGAGTCATTAAAAAACTACTTTTATATTATAGTGTTGTTGGATCTCCAAAATGGGCATAGCCAATTTTTATTTATCCTAATAAAACATTTATCATTTTTTAGGCTAAAAGTTTGGTTATCATAGTAGAGTCACGAAGGTGATTTAACTACACTAGTTTTAGTCCATTATCGAAAAGAAACTATATGAATTTATTATTGACTTAAATTATAAATCATTTCAAAGTAAAATTTTTTTTTTTTAAAAAAAAGAAGCCATATTAAAGATTAATATTCCATTACTCTTAAATAGAGGCAAAAAATATTTAAAATAATACAAATATAAACATAAATTTTTGTTTGAAAATAATAATATGAAATTAGAATATTTTTTAACCCAATTTTTATTCAAGTAAATGTAAGCGTTAAAATTAATTAGTTTATATCATTAAGCCTGTTTATATTTTTTTTTACATGGCTGTATTCAATATAATGTTGTTAAACTCAATATTTTATACAGAAAAATATTATGCAAGGACGCATAGGATTAACATCTATTGGCGAAATCTCGACACTTAGGCAACATTTTCCTGGCTATAATGTTGAGTTACCCGTTTTTAAAAATCGGATCAAATCGAGCCATATAAAACACTACGGTAGTCAATAGTATAAATAAAAATTCCTAAATTCCTTGTCAAAAATTTATTTTTTTTAAAAAATATTTCTCATAAGAGAGACATGCTCGGGCCATGCATATAAAATAATATTACTTTTTAAAATCTGCGCCAAAAAAAATTTTTAAATGTAAAATGCGCGGATCCAGACAAAGCTTAAAAAAACATTTATCAATGAGAAAATGTGAGAAAAAGTCTTATAATGGAAAGCCTTTAATAATCCATTTACCACTCATATTTCCAATTTCCTCTTTTAAAAAAAAAAATATGAGTCGCGAGGACCGTGGCTTAAAAATTTTAAAAACATTAAAAATCACAAATCGGGCCTAAAATTTTAAAAAAATTTTGAAACCAGTTGATGTAAGGTGTTGAAAAATCTTATAGTATAAACGTTTTAATATTTTCATTTATGGCAACAACATATAACAAATTTCCTGATCTGTCCAATACAATCAGGGTTGGGTGTCAGGCATTAATATTATAAATACTTATGGCCAAACCAAAAAAAAATTAAAAAGAATTGGGAGTGTGGGCTTGAAGAAAACTTGAAGAAATTAATCGAGAATTGTTCAGTACAAAGAGTTAAAAGTTAAAAGCTTTATGAATTCGTTAATACCTCTCATCGGACCAAAACACACTTTATCTTAAATGTTTACTGTAGTTTGTTATACATTAAATAATGATTAGTTTTAATTTAAAAAAATTAATATAAAAAATTATACACTGTCATTTAAGAAATTACTTTCAATATCTCCCTTCTCGGTCAATGTGACTCCTGTTTAATCAAACTAAAAAATTTAATCACTGTAAGGGGGGGGGGGATAACTTCGATTCAACTTATTAAAATTATTTTTGGTTTTAAAGACCTTTAATAGACCCCGCATAAGATTCAACTTTTTTTTTCATAATAATTCTTAACTGCTTCAAAGCGTTCAAGTATCATTGAAGGGTTGGCAGAAAAATATATTATGGTTAGTATTGATAAAGATCTCGATATAGCCGATTTAATAAGCCGCGATATCATCTCAAGAAGCAACTTTAGGCGAAATCCCACGGATAATGGGTACCATCTCTCTCCAATCAATATCGGAGACATATTTTTTTTATTTAAAATAAGATTACATGAAGGTAAACATTTTATTTGATTGCACCTCCATCTTATTAAATCTTGTTTTAATTTATCAAAAATTGATAATTTTTAATAGATTTGTAAACGTTAAAATCTTATCTTTTTTAAAAAAATTTAAAAATTTTAACCTTGGTAAAATTTAAAAACAATAAACATCATATCTTATTACCCCCTGGTTTCAAATTTATATAATACACAACTTGTGTTGTAAATTGCAATAATTTTAAAAAAATATATTTTTAATTTTAATATATATTATTTTGGGAGGGTGGGTACAATACAGATGACCTAAGTATTAAGTTTAAATCTAATATTTTTGTTAAGTGTTTTTCCAAAATCATATTATCGTGCCAGTGCCAAAATTGGAAAAAAATCTCATTTTCCTTTTAATTTTGAAGCGAGCAACTATAAAAAGAATAAAATGATCATTTATTTTTTTAAAGTTTATAATATTTTTAATTTTGGCAACCTCTGGCCCGAGAATTCTTATGTTTGAATAAACCCAATTCATTTATTTTTTAGTTTATTCAAGTTTATATAATTTGGTAGAATCTTCTAATAAATTTGGCATAAAAGGCGTTTCAATTTTACGTTTGAATTCACCCCCCCCCCCTCCACAAAAAAAAGAAGCAAATATCGATTAAAAAAAATTCTAGAACGTTAACCAAAAAAAATATCATATAAAATAGGCCGGTTCTGCTGATGCCAAGAACCCGAAGACGGTAAAAATAAAGCCGGCATAGGAACCGAACAAAATATAAAGGCCCGAAAATTAAATTAGCTATTATTTGCCAAGTTTCAGGGAGGGTAGGGGTGGATTTTTAAAAGAAATATGAGCTGTTTTTTTTTATATTTAACTTATTTAGTATTGTTAAACGATTTAAATTAAGATTATAGTCAAAATAATATTACGCAAGTTTCAAAATTTCTTTAATAGATGCCCAAGCTATCATGACATCTATGAGAAAAAAAAATATCCAGGCTTGATTATTATTTTATTGCTATAATATTGGGTTAGCCTTTTTGAAAAATCAAGCAGTTTAACCCAAGAACCAAACTTATCTGTAAAATTTAATTTATATTCCCTTAATCAATGACATATAAATACCTAGACTGTCGATGCATTCAAAATAATGCATTTGAAAGCGCAGTTGAATGCAAATCAGCTGAACCAGCCATTTTTGTGACCCATTTAGTAATTATTCTAAGTTTTATGTCATAGCGCTGGTGCGCGTGTTCCGGAAACGGATAGTGGCGGGGGAGGGATCGACTAAGTTGAAGGTCTCTGAGTGGACCACTTTAAATCCGACTCATTATGGTACTAAATAATTCATAGTATAAAATAATCCCTATTTTTAATCCTAACCATATTAATTACTTTATTAAATAATTCCTACTTATCAGGGTATTTCAAAGTCAGAACTTTCGTACACAACAAAGTGTTAGAGTGGGTTTACGTTGTAATTATTTTAATTGTGGACAATCTTTATCGCATAACTGTTACAAGAGTGAATTTACGTTTCGGTTATTTTAATTTTGAATCGGCTTTAATCGCACTATACTGTTATAAAAGTGGATTCCACAGTGGAAAAAGTTAAGGATTTCCCATCATATTTTATTCCGATAAATAATCAAATAAATCAATAAAATATTTATTATATATGTTAACGTCAATGTGTTTTTTTTCCGGCAATGTATTATTTTTACAACTTTAAATCATTTTTTGAGCGCGTTTTTAATTATTTAAAAATGTGATTTTACCGGAAATGTATTTCATCATGTTTGAAATACCTACCCTATGAATTGTAGACAATTTTGCTGTTAACCTTCGACTCATTTATAATTTATATAAAAAATATATAGAAAATATAATGTAAATTAAATTAAGTTCCAAAGTTCATAAAAAAAATTGTCTGAAATTCATATGGTAGGTATTCCCAACAGGATGGAATACATAATTCGGTAAAATCAGTTGTTTAAATTTTAAAAAAACGCGTTCAAAAAATGATTTAAAGTTGAGAAAAATTTGAATAGCCCCCTGAAGCAAAAAATATTTCTTTAATTGCTCCTTAATATCCCCTTGAACTAAAAATAAATTTTTTTAATTGCCCCCTGAACGATTTCTTTTATAATTCTATTGAGTAATATATAGATTTAATTTTATTATTTAAAAATTAATAAAACTATCTAAATTATTATTAAATGAATACTATTTTAATTATTAGATAAGATTATATAATAAATTATATGTTCACTCTGTCAGCTTGCAACCAAATTCTGTGAAAAGTATAACAATATCACTCACTAAATATTAATTTAGCATTAACAGGAAGCTTATTGACTTTTATTATTTAAATTATTATATAAATTAAATAAATATAATCATTTATTAATTGAAAATTAACAAATTTAATATTGTAATTAGCCGAGTTCAAAATCACTAATCAGCTAAATTTTGATTTTTAAATTTAATTATCATGTCTCTTCCTAAAATTATTTTCAAGGTCCAAATCCAAATGAGCATAAGATATTTATTTATAAAAGGTAAGTAGATAAATAGTTTATAATCCTTTATAATATATAATTTTTTATAAAATATTAGGTAAAATGCCACTTTTACACACAAATTTGACAGTTATTTAATATATTACAGTTAATAATTTTAAAATTTTAATAATAAATGCTTTTGATAATAAATATAAGTAACTTTGCATTTAATTATTTAACGTCATCAATTTATTAAAGATATTATTAAAATTAAACTTCTTAATATTCATCCCACAATGTATTTAATGGTCGATACTGATTTCATACACCGGTGGGAGTTCAAGATACTTTGGCCTCAAAAATGATACACCGGTGATCGATACAAATGAAATCGATCAGAAATACAAATATTGGGAGATCAAGATTGGAATATCTGTCGATTTGATAACTCCGTGTTGGGATACTCAGGTAGGATATCTGGCCGATACTGATTTCATACACCGGTGGGAGTTCAAGATACTTTGGCCTCAAAAATGATACACCGCTGATCGATAAATCGATCAGAAATACAAAGATAAAAATAGATAGCAAGATTAATATTATAATAGATAAGAGAAGGAGCTTACCACCAGAAAAGGTGAAAGCTAAAAAGAAAAAAAAAATGTATGTAATAAATTAGATATTTTTTCTTCTCTTTTTTTACGTGTTTTTAGGTAAGCTATTTTTAGTTTTGAGTTAAATTTATAATACGATTATATTTTTGATATTATTGCAATCTATTATTATTTTAAGATATAATATACCAACTAGAGGCGGTGCGACAATATATATAAAATCTTAATTCATATCACTCTGGTTCTTATTTTATAGTAACAAAATGTTTCATTTCTAATATGGCATCCTTGCCGTGTAAATAACTCAAAACTTCAATATATTTGCATAATTTCTTCTAAAGATTTTTACTGTTTTTGTTTTATATATTTATCTAACATAATAAATTCTGATATGGATTACCATCGTGAGTGTCATGCAGCGTCTACATGACAGGATTTTCACTGGATGCAAACCCCTTTCAAAAACCTTTGCCTACCCCCCTAAAAAATTCTACCGCCTTTGGCGGCGGTGCCTGTCTATTATTGTTTTCACCTTTTTAATTTATTGATACTTTTTTCAAAGAATTTATCTAGGATAACTTAAATTAATCTATATTTACTACCAACTATCGATATTTTGTGAATATAAAGAATTTATTTTTTAGATAATAAATTCAATTAAAACCTCCATTATTTACAATAAATTAATTATTATGGCATTATGAGCTTGCTGAAATATCTAAACCTTTTAAATTACATTTAAAAGGATAGCAGAAAGATTTATTTGGAAAACAATGTGTATGATTGTTTACAATTTATAGATTTGGTCGATGGATTGCATTATAATAATTATATAATAAAAGTATTCATTTTTACAGCAAATTTCATCTCGAAATTTAATAGATAACCCCCCAAAAAATTTACCCTACCCTCATTAAAGCAGCCTATCTCATACCCTCTTCAAAAAAATAGGATGCAAACTGTTCCTACCCCTACCGCTCATGTAGACGCTGGTGTCATGGCTATGACTGCAAATTAAGCAGCATCTATTATTTGTGTGACTATGTAATTTAAGATTATTACTATAGCTGCTGAGAGCATATGATTGCATATTTTAGATAAGCAATAATGGTCAACTGTGTACTCGTTTATATATCATTAAAAATGGAAGATAATCTTTTAGTTTTATGATTTGGATTGGTCGTTTATATTTTCTTTTTCAAAAATTGTTGATTTGGGTAGACCTATAAATTTTTCCTTATTAGTCCATTCTCTAAACATTGTCTAAAATGGTAACAGAGAGTTATATTAGTTTCATGACCTTTTGTCAATGTAACTTGCTAAAATTATATAGCCTTGGGCCGTGGCATATGTATGAATTAATTAACCTTTTTTATCACTTGTAATTTTTTGCGCAAAATTTTTTTATATCAGCAATCGAAACTATTTTATACTGTAATAAATAGATTTTGTATTAAAAAATATTATTTTTAGAAATGTCTTGTATTGTTTTAATTATTTATATGCTAGTTTATTTTGTATGCAAAATATTATAAATGGCAAAATATGAAATTCAGAATAATTGTCTAGAGTTAGCATATTTTAAAAATGTATAATATATTAATATAAAACCCGGTCGAAGGCCGGGCAAAAGCCATATAAAATATTTTAGCTGAGTTCTTGAGTTTGTAAAGGCTAGCGACGCCCCTACATGTTATGACATGTGTTGTTGGGGCATATATAATATGTGTGAGGGAGGAATATCATATTTCTGTAAAAAAAATAAACCAATAACTGGAACTATTGGTTTTATCTAGAGCTTCGAATATAAACGATTACACAGTTGACCATTATTGCATATCTAAAATATGCAATCATATGCTCTCAGCAGCTGTAGAAATAATTTTAAATTACATAGCCATACAAATAGCTGGTTAATTTACAGTTATAGCCATGATTTTCACGATGGTAACCAATATCAGAATTTATTATTATAGAATTGATGAAACAAAATCACTAAAAATCTTTAGAAGAAATTATACAAATATATTGAAGCTTTGAGTTATTTACACGGCAAGGATGACATATAACTATAAAATAAGAACCAGAGTGATATCATGAAAAAAATTTTTATATATTATTGTCGCACCATCTCTAGTTGGTGTATTATATCTTAAAATAATATTAATAATATAAAATATATACGTATTATAAATTTAACTTAAAACTGTTTTTCAAAGAAGAAAAAAAATAGCTTTCTTAAAAACACGTAAAAAAAGAGAAAAAAAGATATCTAATTTATTACATCTATTGTGGGATGAATAATAAGATGTTTAATTATAATAATGATGGCGTTAAATAGTAGAATGCAAATTGTTACTTATATTGATTATCTAAAGCATTGATTAGAAAATTTTAAAAATATTAACTGTAATTTATTATAAAACTGCCAAATACGTCTGCAAAAGTGGCATTTTATCTAATATTATATAATTAATTATATATAAGGATTATAAACTACATGCCTACTTACTTTTTATAAAAAATATTCTATATTTATTTGGATTTGGATCTTGAAAATAATTTTAGAAAGAGACATGATAATTAAATATAAAAATCAATAATATAGTTGATTAGTGATGTTAAACTCGGCTAATTACAATTAAATTTGTTAATTTTCAATTAATAAATGATTATATTAATTTAATTAGATAATAATTAAAATAATAGAATTCATTCAACTGTTAATGCTAAATTAATATTTAGTGAGTGATATTGATATATTTTTAACACAGATTTTGATCGCAAGCTGACATAGTGAAAATATAATTTATTTGTATTAATTATTCATTTAATAAAAATTTACATAGTCTTATTAATTTTTAAATAATAAAATTATATCTATATATTACTCAATAGAATTATAAAAGAAATTGTTCAGGGAGCAATCAAAAAAATTTATTTTTAGTTGATGGGGATATTAAGGAGTCATTAAAAAAATTTTTGCTTCAGGGGGCTATTCAAATTTTTCATGGAACTTGAGCCCCTACACACCCTTCCCTAGCGACCCCACTGCAAAATTATATGGGGGATAGGTCTCCATTGAAATCACCCTCGCTCACTTTAGGCAGGTCTATGACCAACGTGCTGGATATGGTAAGAGTTTTAACATGCGGAGCAAAATATTTTATCAATACTTTGAAATAGAATTTATTATAAATTGGATAAATCAGAATGGATATAAAAGGGTAAAATTAATTTAAGGGTTTTTATATAATAATAATCTACAGGTCGCTTTACAATTTCCTGATGAGTATCTTAAATATTCTCTAGACATTTCTAATTTGATAAAAGCCAAATCTGAATGTCAAACATATGTTTTAGCAGATACATCTTATGGAAAGTAAGTTTAATGTGTCATTTACAATTATGAATTTTTTAAAGAATATATTTATTTACTTTTAATTAATAAAAAATATTTGTATTTTAGTTGTTGTGTCGATTTAATAGCATCTCAACATGCAAATTGTGATTCACTAATACACTTTGGCCCAGCTTGTTTATTTTCTGGAACTATCAATGATAATATAACAAATTTTAAAAATGGTTTTCCTGTATATTATTGCTTTGCACATCTTGATTCATCTGAAAAATATAATGTGACTGATTTTATAAATTCAATTTTTTATGAACCCCTGAATAAAAAGGATTCTAATGCCAATGAACAAGAACAAATACTAACAAGTGTAGCCTCTATTTTTAATGAGTATCAAAAACTTCATATGACTGATTCAAATTTGAAAATTCAAATTCTGCTATTTTATGAATTTTCTTATTTCAGGAATATAAGTAATTTAATATAATAATTCATTAATTATAATTTTACAAAATTAGATAAAAATCTATAAATTTTACTGTATAATTTTAATTATATTCATGTATAAAAACTTATTTATAAAATCTATTTAGTAAAGAATTTAGATGCCATGGAAATAATACTGCAAGAAAAATTCACAGATATGTTGCTAAGATTGAATAAAAATAATTCCAGCATCAATTCAGAAGACAAAAAGATCACTTTAGATTTTATTATCTCAGCCCCTGATTTTCCTCCTAACAGTTATTGCTCTGAAAATATGTCAGAAACAAATCACAATTACTTTAGTAATAATAATAATGAAAACAAATTCATCAGGGAATGCTCCAGAATATATTTATCCTCAAAATCTATTCAAAATATTTCTCCACATAATGCAAATAAACTTGTGAGGACTAAAATCGTCAAAAATGGTATCCTTAATTTTGTCATACCACCTGAGATTTGTAGCTCATATAGCTTTAATGAGGACCAAGTCAAGGATAATGAAAATAATGAAAAATCCCCAAACTCTTTTGATTTTGAAGAAAAAATTTGCCAATCATTCTTGATTTTTGTGGGCCACCAAGAATGCCCAGCATTTACTAGAATATTTTTTAGATATTTTCCCAAAATTTATGCCTCAAAAAATGGTCTATCAGGTGGAGAAATTAATACTTCTTCAGTGAGAAGGTTTGACAAAGTGGATTCATTTTTCATTTATGATCCTAATTACCAGAAAAGTTTAGATTGCTTGATGCTTAGAGACGATTTTTCTATGAATAGGATGATATCCAGGAGGTATTTCTATATTGAAAAAGGACGCCAAGCTAAAATTGTGGGAATTATAATTGGCACATTAGCCGATTCTCGAATAATCGAAGCTATACAAAGGTTTTTTTTCTTTTAATTATATGCTTCAATTTTTAATAATATTTTTTGTTTATAAAAATAATCACTTCTTCTTTAACCTTGCCATTTATTGTTTAATTTATTGCCAAAATATGATATTAGTCAATTGTTAAAAAGCCTTATTTGGGTCAATTTTTAAAATGACATGTTAGTCAAAATAATATTATGTAAGCCTCGAGATTTGGTAAGGTTCAAACCTTTTCTGCCATCTATGGGAAAAATGTGCAGATTTACATAATATTATTTTGGCTAAAATCTTAATCAGGCCATTTTTATAAATCAACCCCTATCCAGCTTTTTAACAAAACTAACAATAATATTTTGGAATAAAATATATTCTATTAGCCACTAGTAAAGATCTGCAGAGCCTAGATTATAGGCTGCATTTTTATTTAAATGCTTGTCTGGCCCACTCACGCCCGTCAATTATTTTTTGACTAATTTTCTGGTCGTTGGTTAAAATTATACTAAAGTTTGACCTGTACAATTTAATTTAGAGAAGAATTTTCCTACACATTTTTAATGTCTATATAGCATCAATCCATGTCAAATAATATTTGCAGGCACGTTATATTCTAGTTTTTATTACTTGATACTTTACCGATTGCCTCCTTTTATCGTTTTACCCCTCATTCATAGTTAGCGCAAATTCGCAACGAAATATACCAAAAATACACCATATTATTTTGTATACTTTGTCGCGCATTCTGTCTGACTTATTATGAGCGAGGAGAAAATCCGAAAAAAATTGACTTATTTATCTAGCCTAGCCTAACTAACTAGTTATATATTCAGTGTGAGGGTGCACCCAGGATGGCATGATACAGTGGTTGGTAATCATTTTATTCCTTATATAATGGTGATCTATGATGGTTGATATTTTTTTTTAAAAAAGCACATATTTAACAATGATACAATTTTCTATTATATAGCTCTAAGAAAGTTAATATAAAAATTTATAAATTTAAAAGAGTTTAGTTATACTTGAAAGATTTTGTATAATCCTTAAAGAAAATATGATATAATTTTTAAAAATTAAAAAATTTTGTCACATAATTTTTTTTTTGAATTGATAACCCTATAATGAAAACATTTAAACCATATGGAGGCCATAGGGCATGTTTTATGAGCCATCCATCCCGCCATAATATGGAATTCCAACAATTTTTTAAAGATATGACTTAAACCTCTGCTCCCAGTTAAACCACAACTTTAAGCTAGAGGCGAATTTTTACATGTAATAGAAAACTTAGCTAAAGCCTGTTTGGAGTTGGCGAAGTGTAGGTGATTTGTCAATATTAATTTTTAAGTCCATAATAATTGATCAAAAATTTATTTCTCGGCCTATTAAAATTTTTTTAAAGAAAATAGATAATATAAAAAAGGATTTATCCATGTGGGTCGTTCCACGTCAAATCGACCAAAAAAACGAGATTTTCGGACGACCATCTTTTAAATGAAAGAAACCTGGCATGATTCTTTTCTATTTTGTATAATCAATATTTTAGAGTGATACTCAACCAGATTCAAAGATATACACCTTCAAAGTCAAAAATTTCATTCATTTTTGAGATGGTGGCCGAATCACTGGTCGATTTGTCATGGAATTACCCATGTTCAGTTATAGGCTGATCATTATTTCAAAAGAGAAAAAATTGATTTTTTTTTCAAAAAAATGCTTAGGCCCAGGGATCTAAACCGAAACGAGTATCGGTTCGGGTTCAGGTTCGGATAAAAATAACGGTTAAGGTTCAGTTCTTAAAAAATTAAAAGTTCGGTTCGAACCTCTAAAAATCGTTTAAACATTTTTGTATCCAAACCGACATTCGAATTATGTATAGGGAAAATATTTTTTTTATTTTATCATTAATTTAAAAAACACATGTATAAAACCTTCATTTTTATTAATTGCACATTATAAAATAATATTTAATTTATAAATATAAAAATAAGAATAATATCAATGATTAATTTTAATATGAACAATATTTTACCTTTTTTTTACAATTTTTTTTATTAAGCTGCACAATTTATATATTTTCAAAATTCGTCTCACTCAAATTACACTATGAGGAAGATAGTATAAATTTAATTGTTGAAAAGCATCTTTTCACACTGACTTGGGTAGCCGGCACTGTCAATATGATATAAGATTTGATGTGTCATATATAATAATATTTTGGATTTAATTTTTTCTCTAAGCATTATAATTTACAAGCTTAAAATATTTTAAAAAAATGTTGTAAAATGACAATATACTAAAGTTTATAAAAATTATGACCGACACTTATCAATCAAATGTGATTGATGATAATCTTTAAAATAATTTGAATGTAATTGAAATTTTTTCAATATACTAATAATAACTTACATATTGTTTTATAAGCATAAAATCATGCAGGCTCGAACCGGTTCAGAGACATTATAGCGGTTCTGTTCAGATTCGGCTAGAATATTTTTAGCGGTTTAGGTTCGGTTCAGGTTCGATAAAAAATACCGGTTTTAGCGGTTCAGGTTCGGTTTGGATCCCTGCTTAGGCCACATGTGTCGGTTCGTCTTTTTTAAAAAATTTATTTCTGTTTAGAGGCCAATACTTCAGATTTTGAACTAGGACACCTATGCTGTTTTGTTTTTAAGTATGTACTAAATATAAATATTATTCTGTTTAGTGAAAACTGTATAGACGGCTAAACAGATTTCTGTTTAGAAAAAAATTGAGCAAGTCAGGTGACGGCCATATATGTTTTATAAAATGCCTCATTCCATATTAATATATAAATCCTTTATTCATTCCCAACCAATGGTTCATCTTTTCGCGTGTAACAGCTTAACCTTATCATCATTTATTTTTTAAATTAAAATAAATAATTTAAAATATCATTTCTTTGATAGAACCTTGCCAGGGACCTGTAAAAGTCTGATAATTTTTATTTTATTCACGTTCTACCTTTGAGTATCATGCCAAACCATGTCCCCAACATCGATGAAAATGATAAAATTTTGTAAAAATTTTAATGAAATATAACCAGAGATGTAATAGAGGGGGGGGGGTAATTTATTTTGAGACCCCTTTAAGTAAATGCATACTCGCGGGTTAATTATGAAATGATTCATTTAAGAAATCAAATAATTTTTAAAATTTAATACAAAAAAATTTTTTTTTTCTATATCAAAAATTGACCATTATATTTAAGTAATTAAATGTAGATCAATATTACGTTTTAAAATTATATACGCCATCTTGCGGGATAAATATTATTGACTTTTATATTATCTTTTTATTATAAATATTTTTAAATAGCATTATATTCTTTTTCCTTGAAACATAACTATATATATAATAACTATTAGTAATTTATATTAATTTAAAATTCTCCCCATCATTTCTCAATCACTAATTGATATCCTTTATGAATCCAACTCACCTTTAAAATTTATTTTAAATATAGTTAAATTAATGAAACTAACTTACACACAATTGATCTTTTGTCATAAAGACAAGGGTAAAATCTAACAGAGTTGATCAACTCTTATTTATTTATATCCTAAAAAATATATATATGATATTTTTATAATCAAAAATTTACTTGCAAATTTTGTATTTCGGCCATATTATAGTTTGTCGCTTTGAAAATAACAAAATGTTTTGTAATGTGATTTTTATGTTTAATGCGACAAATTTGGCGGGATTGTCGCGTCGCAAAAGCTCACTATGAATAGTCATTGGTATTTACACATATTTGTATTTTGTCGTGTCGCTGTCGCTCTCTACTGTGAATGCACCCTTACTCACCATACATTTTACAATACTAATAATTGTAATTTATTCATAATTTTTTTTTCTTGATGTCGTCACCTGCTTTTACCTGAAAGAAGTGATATCTTTTAAAGGAAATTTATTATATAGTCTTTTTTTAAATATCATTTCTTATTGTCATATTTTACTATTTTATAACAATTAATTATATTTTAAACTGCCTTAATATATTTTGTACTTCAGTTTATATTCTTTTACAAAATCAATCTAAATAAATCGATTAATCATCATATCATCAATCCACCAGCTGACCCTGATTGAATCTGAGATACGTTTTGTTTTGTTTATCAAGAATCTTTCAATATAAAGTAATCTTTAAACATAATTATACATAAAAATAATATGAACCATGGTGATATGTCCCACTTGCAATAACAATGTATCCCCCTTTCATCAGGTACTTTCTTTAACAACAATGAACCTTATATGCCTCCATCTTCTTATCCTGCTCTTATTAATAGTATTAATTTGGAATCAAGACCTACAACTTAAGTTCCAACAATACATTCAACACAGAAACAATCCCTATAACTATATCTTCATGCCCAGATAATAACATTAATTCAACCTCTATTGCTGAGGCACAAGAATGGCTAGAAAAATTTATAAAAGAAAGTCCCCCTCACAATAGCTCGTATTCCAAAAGGTGCTAGAATTATATTTTCACAATTTTTTTTATTTTAATCTCCCTAAATAAAAAGCTTAGATAATTGGATTAAGCTATTATCATTTATATATTTAAATCTATTCCAACATCAAAATCAAACTTAACACAAAACATCAAAAAAACATTAATTCAAATGATACTAGTTATTTTGATATTCCCAAACAACCTCCACATTCTTTCAATAAGCTTTGGCAGATAAAAAAAAGGCCAAGCTTATTGAAAATAAAATTAACTTATGCAATGTAAATTCAGCTATCAACATAGCCTGTTCAAGTGATACTATGGCCCCCAATAATGATTTAACTCTCATGGCTATGCAATCTAAACATCCTCAAGATCTTTCACAAATCATCCTTCCACCATCTAATAATCCCATTCCACTAACCGAGATGGAAATATTGGAAACAATAAAGTCATTCAAAAAAGATTCTTCTGGAGGCATCGATGGCTTTCGAGCCACTTATCTCCAAGATATAATTAAACAACTTTACCCCTATATCAAAATATACTTGCACAATTCCCCGTATTGCTCAATCATTTCTTTCATAATAATATATCTAATTCCATTCAGCCCATCATTTTTGGAGCTCGTTTAATAACCTTAAATAAAACCAATGGGGACATCAGGCCTATTGCAATAGGGTCACTCTTCTGGCGAATCATTTCCAAAAAAATTTGCTCCCATATAAAATCTAACCTGTCTAATCTATTACAACTAAACCAGCTTGGTTTTAATGTTTCTGGAGGATGTGAGGCTGCATCCCACTCGACACGTGTCATACTCCATAATACACATGATCAATGCATTCTCAAAATCGACCTACATAATGCCTTCAATTCACTTAGGACATTTTATACCCTCTTTTTGTGAAACTTTCCCAGATTATACAACATACATCGCTGCATGTTACAACCAACCCACCTTTTTAAAATTTAATGATTCTATCATTCTATCTAAACAGGGCATCCAACAAGGAGACCCTTTAGGTCCAGCATTATTCTGCCAAGGCATTCAATTAATTATAAAAGTCTTCCAATTGTGATCTTAAATTATATGTATGGTACCTGGACGATGGCACACTAGCAGGCCCTTATAACGAAATCATAAAAGTTCCATCAATTATAAATCACTTAACTCCTATTACAGAAGTGTGGATTTTATTCCCCTTCCGAATCTGACTGCCCATCCGAAAATTTTATTTTAGTGGACAAAGCCAACTTTACCCATCTAATGCTATATTATATTACATTTTAGAGATGAATTCCTTGCTAAATTTAAGAGAATGAAAAAGTCTGATAATTTTTATTTTATTCACTTTCTTCTACCTTTGAGTATCGTGCCCAAACCCTGTCTCCAACGTCTATGAAAATGATAAAATTTTGATGGAATATAACCAGAGATATAAGTAAGAAAGGGATGGGGGGGATATCAAAAATCAGCAATTATATTTAAGTAATTTAATGTAAATCATTTTTTAAATTATATACGCCATCTTGCGGAATAAATATTATTGACTTTTATATTTTATTTTGATTTACAAATATTTTTAATTAGCATTATATTATTTTTCTTCTTCTTTGAAACATAACCTTACTATATGTAACCATTATTTACATTTATTTAAATTAAAATAACTATATAAAATTTCTGTTTTATATTAAATAGACTTAGATTGTTAAAAATAATGGCCAGTTTTTTAATTTTGATTTTATACTAAATATACATGCTATAAGTTTAACTTAAATTACGCATTCTGTCATATTCTATATAAACTTTTTTTGAATATATTAATTTTTATCTTTGAGATACTTCGTAAAATTTTTAAAACATACTGTAATTAAATATGAGTTATAATCAGGGATCCTAACCGAACCTGAATTTAACAGTTAAACCGATAAAACCGGTATTTTTTGTCAAACCTGAACCGAACCGCTAAAATGCCTCTGAACCGGTTCGAGCCTCATAATTTTATGCTTATAAAATAATATGTAAGTTATGACTAATAGTATATTGCAAAAATTTTAATTATATTCAAATTGTTTTAAAAATTATTATCAATCACATTTGATTGATAAACGTCAGTCATAATTTTTTTAAACTTTATATTGCCATTTCACGACATTTTTTAAATATTTTTAGCTTATAAATTATAATGCCTAGAAAAATATTAAATCTAATATATAAATTATTTACATATATAGTATTATTAATGACACATCAAATGTGATATCATACTGGCAATGCCAGCTACCCAAGTTAGTGTGGAAAGATGTTTTTCAACAATTAAATTTATATTATCTCCTTATAGATGTAATTTAAGTGAGACGAATTTTGAAAATATATTAATTGTGCGGCTTAATAAAAAAATTTTAAGTAATTGTTCATATTAAAATTATTCATTGATATATTTATTTGTTATATTTATAAATTAAATATTATTTTATAATGTGCAATTAAAAAAAATGAAGGTTTTTATTTTAATTATGAAGTAAAAAAAAAATTTTCCTTATTATACATAATCCTAAAGTAGGTTTAAATACAAAAGTGTTCAAACCGGTTTTCAAAGGTTTGAACCGAACCGATATTTTTATTTTTTGCGAACCGAACCTGAACCTTGAACCGGTATTTTTATCCGAACCGATATTCGTTTCAGTTTGGATCCCTGGTTATAATATTTTAAATATTTTTTTTTAACATAAATATTGTATATTTTTAAAATATTTATAATCAAAATTTATCTCATTAGTAATTAAAATATGATTTTTTAAGAAATAATTTAAGTTTTTTTTTCTTTCAATATTTTGATTAATTGTTATTGTGTTATTTTATGAATAACTAAAAATTTGTGTGAGACTTTATCAGGGTTGTTAAATCTAGATAAAAAAATGTGGTATCTGTATCTAGATCCATTTAAAAAGTATCTTTTAACAACTCTAGACTTTATTAATAATATATTAATAATATAATTTTATTTATAATTTGAATAAATAAAATGGTCAATATTATTTCCAATCAATTTAACTGACCTTTTATATAATATTAAATTTAAATACGTAATATTTGTATGACAAATATATTATTCGAATATAACGTTGAATATTATAACCTTTTAAAATATATAAAATATAACATTAATTAATAAGAAATTATTATAAAACAGTATTTTATTAAAAGTGGTCGGTCAGTACTTGATTTTTATATAATGTTAGTTATTAATGGTAGAATTATATGATTTTTCCCTTAATTATTAGCAAGTATTATTTATTATAAAAGCTAATTAATAACTAATATAATATAAAAATAAACTTGTTAATTTAGCTAAGAATAGTTTTGTCATGAATTTAAGATTATATCTTATCTAATTAACTGTTGTATGATTGAGATGTGTATAATGTTACATTTATCATCATTAAAAATATTAAAATAAAAAATTCTTCCTACGCATTTTTATTCTCCTTTTTTATCAATTAAATTTATATCTAAAGTAAATTTTCTTACCCTCTTCTGTATCATGTGTATATGATTGTTCCCAGGAAATGGTTAAGAATTTTTAAAGATTATTTTCTTTAACCTAGGTATATGTTTGATTTTTTTAAAACTTTTTCATTTCATTACAGTTGAGGTTACTTAAATCCTTTTTCAAAGGTTGGTGTTAAAAAAAATTTAAAATCCCCAAATATATAAAAAAAACTGGAAAATTATTTATTCAAATTATTTTAAAACTGACTATTTATTTTAAATATTGCCCAAATCTATAAAAAAAACATGGAATTTAATTAATTGCTAAAATACCTATCATATGTTTTTTATACTGCCCACCATTTTATGTTTGAAAAAAAAAACATTGCTTTTTTAAAGATTTGGTTATCTGCATACAATTTTTGTCAGTTATGGACGTTTGCAATTTATAAATACTTTATACATTAATATCTTTGATCGCGTGTTTTATTTTTGTCTGTTATGAGAGTCAGATGTTTTGGATTTCAGCTATCCTGATCAGGATATTTATTTTAAAGAATATTTTTATAAGTCCTATGAAAATGATCTCATTATTATTAATATGCTAAATCCGATGATTTTATAATTAAGGATCTCATATATATAATATTGGCGAGGAAAGGGGAAAAGATTTCTTCCAGAAGAGAAGAGATTTGCCCAAGATCAATTTAATTTTAAAAAAATTTAACGGGAACCAACGACCAATGAATTAGACTCCTAAATAGGCATATAAAAATTAAATATTTGTACATCTTCTAAATTATATAATATGTATTACTTTTTTTACCGGAGAAAAGTTTAAAAGAAATGGTAAAAAGAGCTGGCAAAAAGAGTTACACCTTCATATTCGGTAAACTGAATCCGAATAAGTTGGCTAATTACGGTGAAGTAGATGTTTTCGTTCTCCTTTCGTGTCCTGAAACTTGCATGATGCCACTAGAAAAATCGAAGAATTTTCACAAACCTATATTGACCGCATGGGAAATGGAATTAGCTTGCACCGATCCTGGCGGAATGGGCGGTCATTCCTTTGAAACGGTGGATTTAGATTTCATTAACACGCTCTCTTTAGCTGAGCCGCAAGTTCGTGAAACTGGTGCCCTAGCGGTTGGATCTCAAGATACCAATTTATCGAGTAATTATAATATTTGATTAGTATCATTGTTTTCAATAAAATAATGTCTTTTTTATTAACCTCTAATTTATTTAATGCTAAAAACTTTTCAACAATAAATACAATTTATAAATTATAGATCAAGAAATTACGAACGATTCTTCAACTATGCTAACTAATAAAATGGATAATTTAGCATTGATCCCCAAGGAAAATTTAGATATCAGTATCGTCACCAGCTGTAAGTTTCTATACCCTTTAATCGGTTTATTATATTTAAAAAAATTTAATATTAATAGATGACTACTTATGCCAATTGAGTTGGAAAGGATTGGTATATGCCGAGGATTTAGAGTCGCCAACACACCCAGCTCTTATTTCGATTGGTCGCTCGGGCAATGCCAGTCATTATATATCTGAACCGTCATAAGTTTTATTTTCAATATTTTTACAAAATACAAAAATGATTTATGAGATAAGATTTAAGGTAAATCATGGTTCAAAGATTGAAATCATGACTCGGAATACAATTTTTGTTTTTAAATATTCGAAAAATATTAAGAAACTTCCCTTATGGGAAGGAAGGAATTTTAACATTTGTTAAATGACAAATATATTTTACCTTGATTTGAATTAAATATGTAATTGAAACATAATTCACTTATGTTATATAGTTTTAATTTTATATATTCACATTAGAGGCCTACAACAAACAATTCAAAAGCACGATTGCCCATTATTTAAATTTTTCTTTAATACTCCTACATATAGACCGGACATTGAAAATTTTTTTACTCTGGCCCGAGTCTAGCTGTTAGATGTGGCAGACCCGATAAATAAATGTTGGAAATATTTCATTATATAAATTTTCTATCACCTTTTTTTCGACATAATGCAAAATTTTTTATATAATGAACAATCGCTTTTAAATTCGATTGTATTTCAACTTTACCCTTGTATATTTTAAACTGAATAAAATTTATACAAATTAAATAAAAACTTTATAATAACGATTGATTAGATTATGGGGGCTAAATATACTTATATTTAAGGTAGGCAATATGCAATGACATCTAATAATAATATCTAGACTGACGATGTATTTATAATAATGCATTTGAAAGCTTCGTTGAATGCAAATCTCTGGACCCGCCATTTTGGTAACCCATATAGTAATAATTCTCAGGTTAAAAACTACTATTAAATTGATAACTTGCTTCCTTATTATCTCAATGATCAGGCAATTCTTTAATAAAGATTGCGGCAGGCATAGGAGTATAAATTGACCTCTCGTTTAAAATTTTTATAATAATATGGGTAATCCAAATGTCCCCAGCTGTTCATTGATATACACTTTTAATGAATGCATCGTCAGTCTAGGTATTATTATATGTCATTGGCAATATGTTAATAAATACACATAATTTTTATTTTTTTCTTAGACATCATGATATTTAATCAAATTATAAAAAAATTTTTAGTCAAGTTGGATCTGAAAATGTGTGCTCTAGTCGGGCTCAGGCAAAAAAATTTAAAATTCTGGTTGGGGCCGTGAAAAAAATCATCTTGCAGACCTCTACCTGCATATACATGTATTTTTAAATGGCCACTATAAAGTGATTCTTAGGAAATTATAGCTTCTAACCAATATGTTTAAGATTAACAAATAAAAAATTTTCTAGATTAAGAAAATTTCAGACTTGAACAAAAATTTAATTAAAAAAAGTCATTATTATGTTGAAAGAAAATTTTAAAAACTATTATATTAGTATCATTTTTGAATTTATAAAATTAATTGAAGTAGCTCAATCATCCACAATCATGCTCTGTTTCCGATTGTAAATACTTTATTAGAATTTTAATTACGCAACTGCAGGTGACAATGGAATGATCAATGCAACGATATAAATAGTTGTGCAATAATTAATGTATATATATATATAAATTTACTTATTGTATTAGTATAAACATATTCAATAAAAATTTATCTATTAAAAATGTAATAATTTTAAACAACTAATCAAAATCGTTTATATATAAAAAATAACGATTTTTTAAAAAATGGAGTCACACTATTACATGAAAATCGCATGACATCATCTTGCTTACAAAATACATAACGTTAAATTATATAGCTATATCGTTTAGCGATGTAGTACGCATCGCATGAGTGACACCTAGGAGGTCTTACATAAATGCATAACTTAAAATCCCTGAGTTATAATATGTTGGAATTTTTTATTATATAAGACTTGGATTTATCATTCTTTAAATAATTATAAAATTAGCTAGCTATTTCCAGATAAATATGAAAGTTTTTTATAAGTCGATTGGTACCAAATCCTTAATGGGTTGGAAATTTTCATATTGCACCAATGGATTATTTAACTAAGGCCTCATTTATAGTAAACACTTCAAGCATTGCGTTATTTAACGCAACATTATTACAACCAATTAAATTTTAAAAACTAATTTAAGATAAAGCTAAAATGGAGATAATTATAAAAAATTCATATACCTTTTTAATTGAATTCGTTATTATTTTTATAATCGTATTGCATACTTTTTTTTATCAACGCATCACAACATATGTTTTTCAAATTTTATTAGCTTAATTTTATAATAATGCTGCGTTAAATGACGCAACGCTTGAACATTACGTGTTTACTACAAATGAGGCCTAACCCTGAAATTGGATTGTCTGCTTTTTGAACTGGCAAATTTTCATTTTATGATCTAAAACATTGAACAATGAAATGTTACACTTATTAATTGAATAGGTTATTTTGTCTCCTGCATGTTGAGATATTTTTTTAAGTGTACATTAGATTAAAATGGAGTTAGGGCTTAAATTTTTAACATAAATTCCCAACCCAAATAAGTTTTAGTATTATAATGCTATGGTCATTTAGATGATTCATAAAAAAATTTGAATAAAATAACAAGTATATAAATAAGAGACATTATCATTCATTAATATTTAAGTATGATAGAGTCTCAGACAATGAGATCAATTATTGCACTTTTTCTAAATTTGGTATATCTCCAAGAGTGACAAAAGATTTATGCATTATTTCGGGATTTAAGATCCTGCTTGACCCTTTTTTGCAAGAAGTAATGTTGAGTTTCGATTGTTATGAATAGCCAATTAAGACCAGCATATAATCTTTCATTGGATTGTCTGAGTGTCTCATTAGGATATTCATGAGCAATTTCATTGGTCACTTTTTTTGAGAATATTATAGGATTTTGAACTTTTTTAATTTGTTCTAAATGCTGGTCAATAGCTCCTATTTTGTGGTGCCTTCTAATTTGTACTTTACTTATGAAGTTTGCTGGTTTTGTTTTTATGTCATTTATTTCAAAAGGATTTTGTTTGAATACATTATTTATGCCTCCATTTTTAGGAACTTCAGGGGTTAAGTTAGAGCAACAAGGTTCTATCTTTGAAAATATTTCACTAAATGGATTTAATATATCAGGATAATTAATAGAATCTTTGTGACCATATTTTAGAATATCAGATTTGTCTGCAATATTTGAGTCCTCCATTTTTGGCTCAATAATATAACCTTCAATGCTCTCGCTCTCATAACTTGGATTTATTGCACTTATGTGAATTTTTGCATTTGGTTGATGGTTTTTCCCATTTAAAAATGAATGTACCATATCTGTAAGTGTGGGTTTTGGCATGTTAAGTAATGGAATGCAGGATATGTTGTCCTTTATAATAAATCATTAAATGAAACTAAGAAATAAATTTTACATAATATATAAATGTGGAATGTTCAACTGCTAATTCAGGAATATTCAAATATTGACAAATCTCCAATCCAGATATTGATTCTTTTATATCCTTTTTATTTGCAAAGCTGTAATGTAAATTATTTTATTAAATATAAAAAATCAAATTAAATTACATTAGAAATGGTTTCCCATTTAAAAATTTATTTGATAATAATTTTGGTATTATGTCTTTATCTTCTTCTATTTTTTTACCTTCTGTTGAATCTATCATATAAATAATGCCATACACCTTAATAAATGTTTCCATAATAAATTTATAAAATATTAATTATACTTCAGCGTAATAATTTTCCCACATGCTTCTTATGCATTTTGAACCACCAACTTCATAAATAGTAACTATTAATTTATTATTCCATTCAAATTTTTTATAAGAAAATCCAATTGTAGGGATGGTATTTATAGTTTCTTCTAAATGAATTTAATTAAATAATAATATCTAAAAAATTTATACTATTAGATATATTATATATTAGTGAGGTTTTCCCAGAATTATCAAGTCCCAGTAGCAATATACTGATTTTTCTTTATAATAATAAGTTTAATTTTTATAGGTAAATTTTACTTTCTGGTCCACCTGCATAAATTCATAAAAGGTAATCATTTATAATATACACACTAGGTAAATACAAATATTTTATGGTATATAAAAGCAATTCTATTCTATTCAACATTTTTTAAAATTGCTATAATTAGATTTTCATTTTATTAATTTATATTAATATATATACAAATACAGAAACATAATTAGTTATAGATCTCAAAATTAAAAAGTATACAAATTGCTCAATTCTTATACATATAAAAAAAAGAATAGTTTCGGTTATTTATGATTCATAAATATTATTAAAATTAGCTAATTTTCTACTTATTGCACCATTCATTGGTATTAGGCCTGCTAAAGTTTTCTAAGAATAATCAATGTTACGAGTTAAATTTTATTTAATTTATTTTTTAAAAATTTTTACATCTTCTAAAACTAAAAATGTAATGCTTATATAGCATGTTACAAACAAAAAATCAATTTACATATTAATATAATAATTTATATAAAAAAACCAATTTTCACAATTTATTTAAAAAAATCAATTTATATAAACACAAAAAAAAACAATATAAAGGTTAGTATTAATCGGTCATATCAATATTAGTGGCGTAGCTATGAATTTTCCTTAGAGGTGGTCCATACATATAAAATCCTGGGGGCTTCGCCCTCAGACCTACTTTAATGGGCCTTCGGCCCTTTTGCCCAGCTTTCAGCCGGGTTTATCTTAAAAATTATAACCACATCTTCGACAATATATAATAAATATTTTTTTTTAAATGCATGAATAATATGTTATTATAATTTAGTAGAATATTCTCAATGACTATAATAATACTACCCAGAATAATTTCAATAGTAATATGATATCCTTTCACAAACATCATAACCAGAAAAATATAAATATTAATGGTATTTATTTGATACAAAGTCACTTTTAAGTCTTTTGAACGTATAATCTTAAAAAAAAATTTGCTCTGGGAGGGGTCCAAACCCGAAAACCACCCCCGTAGCTACGCCACTTATTCCACCCCTTAAAAAATGATCTCCACTCAGGTTTTTCTTGCATGTGTATCTTATCGTGCAGTCAACGTTTCTTGATAGTTATATTGTCATCATTAGTATATTTCATCAACCTTTGTGAAAGTTTATTTTTAAGAAAAATATTTTATAATATATATATATATTAAGTCTTTATTTCATTATAAAATTATCTAATTTTTTGGGCAATATTATATTCCTGCTTGGTCTTTGACTAACAAGACTCTGTTCTTGTACTCCTGAATTTTCATCATTTCTTCTAAAACTTACAGTAAAAGGTATTGAATTTTCAGTATTTGTTTTCAAATGTGTCGTTTCATCAAGCGGTGTGCTACTCGTAGATCTTTTTTTTAATTTGGTCTAAATATCTTCTAATAATTTTGTCTCCTGTTCCTGTATTCACTTCAAATATTAAATTCCCATTTTTACGTTTTACCGTGCCTTTGTCCCGTATATTATCCTTGAAGGTTTTATACCAAACTTTGTCACCATTCATAATATTTCTATTTGACATAAATTGATTAAATTCATTCACTTTATCTTCTTGCGGTTTGATTAAATCCCATCTGGTTCTTATGGTTCTGTTGAACATCACTTCGCTTGATATCTTATTGGTTGTCGCGTTTGGTGTGTTGCGATAACTAAATAAAAACTTTTCTAAAGTATATCTAAGTCTATTTTATTATTATTTTCCATATTCATTTTCATGCATATTTTCATTGATCTTATCATTCGCTCACACTGACCATTGGACTGTTGGTGGTGAGGCGCGGTGAAAATGTGATCAATTCCATGATCATTACAAAATTTTTTGAACAAGCTCCTTGTAAAATTCGTACCATTATCGCTGATTATCATATAGGGTATACCAAACTAACTGATTATTTTTAACAATTTTCTAATTGTAGACTCAGTAGTTATATCTCTCATTCTTCTAATGATAGGAAACTTGCTAAGTGCGTCAACACATACCAAGAAATTGCTATCTTCAAACTGTGAAAAGTCGATGTGCACGCGTTCGAACACTTTTACAGCTGTTTCCCATGGATTTTGTACATTATGAGGATTGTCCGCATATTTATTATACGTATCACAGTTTCTCACCTCCTGATCTATTTCAGAGTTTAGACCAGGCCACCACAAGTAATCTCTCGCCAACAATTTCGTTTTCCCAGCACCAAGATGCCCTTTGTGTAATTCCTGTATTATCTCCTTTCTTATATTTTTCGGTATAATGATCCTATTCTCTTTAAAAAGACAATCTTTAATTAAGCTCAGTTCCATTTCCATATTTTTATATATTTTATTCTTTATCTGTTCACGATTCTTTATATTGTTAATTACCTCCATTAATTCGATATCAATACTAGTTTCTTGAACTATTCTTTTAAAATTTATTGGCAAGTTTTAAAATTTGTTATCAATTTTCTATCATCTATCTCTTTTACTATTTCTTCTGTGTTCATTTGGGGTAATCTTGACCAGCGTCTACATGAGCGGGAGGGTTAGGAACAGTTTGCATCCTATTTTTTTGAGGGGGTAGGAGGTAAGCTGCTTTATTCGGAGTAGGATAAATTTTTTGGGGGGTTATCTTTGAAATTTTGAGATGAAATAGGACAAAATTTATTGCTGTAAAAATTATACTTTTATCATAGTATTATTATAATACAATTCATCGATCAAATCTATATATTGCAAACAATCATACACATTGTTTTCCAAATAAACTATCCTTTTAAATGTAATTTAAAAGGTTTAGATATTATAGCAGCTAATAATGCCATAGTAACTAATTCATTGTAAATAATGGAGGTTTTAATTGAATTTATATCCAAAAAATAAATTATTTATAATCACAGAATATAGATAGTTGGTAGTAGATATAGATTAATTTAAGTTATCCTTTATAAATTCTTTGAAAAGTGTATCAATAAATAAATAGGTAAAAATAATGATAAAGAGGGCGATTTTTTTGGGGGGGGGGGGTAGGTAAAGGTTTTTGAAGAGGGTTTGCATCCAGTGAAAATCCTGCCATGTAGACGCTGATCTTGACAAACAATCCGGTACTACATTTCGTTTCCCGGGTCTATGAATTATCGTAAAGTCATAAGCTCCCATAGCCAAACTCTATTTTTGAAGTCGCATTGATATGGATGAATTATCCTTGAGTCACTTCGTAAGTATATAAACGAGTGGCTTGTGATTTGTGATTATTGCAAATCTCGTACCAATTAAATATTCTTGAAACTTTTTTACCGTGTATATAAGATATAAAGCTTCCGTCTCTATATTAGTGTAAGTAAACTCTGATTTTAATAAAGCTCTTGACGCGAAAGCAATGGGTTTCTCTTTGCCATCACCTTCAATATGAAATAAGACTGTGCCTAGACCTTTCTTTGAAGCATCAGTTGCAATGGCCATTGGTAGATCCGGATTATAAAAATTTAACGTAGGCGAAGTACTTATCAGTTTTTTTAGATCGTCGAAGCTTTCTTGATGTCTACTATCCCATAACCATTTGTCTTTATTAACCATTTTGTATAAAGGATCAGCTATGTCCGCAAAATTACATAAAAATTTTCGATAATAGCTCGCCATCCCCAAAAAAGTTGCCAACATTTTTGTCTTCGGTTCCGGCATGTTAGAAATAGCTCTTATCTTAATTCGGATGTATACCTTTGTCGTCTATATCGTGCCCCATTAAAAAAATATACTTTTTGCAAAGTTGGATGTAAGCCCATATTTCAATATCTTATCAAAATACCAATTTTATGTTGTTTAAATGAGCTATATCGTCGTCTCCGGTAATCAGTAGATCATCGATATAAAATATTACACCTTTCATGTCTAAGAAAATGTTATCCATAGTTTGTTGGAAAATTGCCGACGAAGTTTTTAAACCAAATGGCAGTTTCGTAAACCTATAATAGCCCTTATTTGTCGATATTGTAAGAAAATCTCTTGATTCTTTGTATAGGTATTTGGAGAAACGCGTTTTAAAAATCTATCTTGGTAAATTTCTTACCTTTAAATTGCGATTAAGTCATCAATGCGTGGTATAGGGTACTTGAAATCTTGTAAAGCAAGGTTGATAGTATTTTTGAAGTCTCACTCCCGTTTATAAGAGCCATCGCTCTTATAAACGGGAGTGAGAGGACTAGCCCATATAACATCTTCAACAGGTTCAATAATTTTATCGTTTATCCACTTTTGAAGTTTTTTTGTTATCAAATAAATTTTAGAATATGGTATACGCGTTGGCGGTATGATTTTCGGTGTGGCATCGTGTTTTAAACTTAATTTGACATAGCTGCGAAGCATTGGTTTTTGTAAAGAAAATTGCATTGGTTAATTAATTCTTGTATAGTATTATCATAATCATCCTCGACCATATTCACAAATTTATCTAGTATATTCCCAAAAACTGTTATCCAGGTTCTTCCTAACAGTACAATATTATTACTCTGGACTACATAAGCAGTTAAGATTTGACTTTTGTCCTCGAATTACTCAAAAAAGATCGCCCTTGCCTGAGTATATTGGAAATTTAATATTTATATTAACATTATTATTGGGAATCTGTTTCATATTTATTTATTTACGATTTCCTCGAATATGTAGCGGAACTGCCACCATAAAGTTTTCTAAAAATATTTGAAAATTTTTTTACATCTTCTTCTAAAACTAAAAATATAATGCTTATATAGCATGTTACAAACAAAAAATCAATTTACATATTAATATAATAATTTATATAAAAAAATCAATTTTCACATATAAAAAAAAATCAATTTATATAAAACACAAAAAAAACAATTTAAAGGTTAATATTAATCGGTCATATCAACACCTACATATGCTATTCATAGTCAATTACGATATTTTTACAAATCGTAAATAATTCCAAAAAATAGAATTATTATAACAATCTTAAATATATTACAATTGATAGATATAACCTATTATTAATGAAATAATATAGTCATTTTTTATAGACTTTCCATT